TAAAGCTGTGCCACTCGGTTCTCAGCATCCAGCCAGTACATGGTTGCCATACCTTGTTAGCCACCTCTTTACTTCATCAATGTAAGCGGCGCCCTCATAGCGATATGTCATGTTTGCTTGGGCCACTCTGGGCCACTAGCGCTCCCATCCGCGCCTTTTGGATTACTCTGTAGACAGGGACGCTGCACAAGTGCTAATGTTGCCCTCAATTATAGCTCCATAACTTTACCGGTGTCTCCGAGCTGCTTCTCCTTGCACTAAGACGCCATCCCGCCGCTGCCACCAAATGTGACGGACCGCTGGCACTCTGACTGAGTACGTCCACCAATGCTCCTAGTGCTTGCCAAGGACTCCAAGCACTCCACCAGACACCATAAGCACTGCCTGACCCCTTTATGAAGTCTTGGGGATTGCTATAATCACAATAAGCGCTTGTGAGAGCTTGTTCCTGCTACGCTCTCTGTCGCACACACACAGTCACAGTCAGACAGTCACACACACAGTTACAGGCAAGCAGTCTCACACACACACACACAGTAACAGGCAGACAGTCACACACACAGACTCAAAGGAAGACAGTCACAGGCAGAGGTCTACCCACTGGAAGCTGGCCTTGGGTCTAGAGTGGCATGGAGGACGGCGAGACCCCGGCGCAGCTGCATCGCTTGAAGTGCAGAGCTTATGGTGTCTGGGCAGACAGCCGCACACACACTCACAGCCGCACACACACTCACAGGCACACAGACTGTCACGGGCAGACAATCACACACACACAGTCACAGTCAGATAGTCACACACACAGTTACAGTCAAGCAGTCTCACACACAGTCACAAGCAGGCAGTCACACACACACAGAGTCACAGGCAGACAGTCACACACACAAATATAAAGGCAGACAATCACACACACAGAGTCACAGGCAGACAGTCAACACACACACACACACTCTCTCTCTCTTACTTACTGACCGTATGGGCTGGAGGAGGAGTGGAGTAACTGAGGTCCCTGGAGTCTGTTAGTTGGGGAAGCAGGGACTCCATCTTGCTTCCCCTCGATGTGCAGCAGTGACAGCAGCAGATGGAGGCTGTGTTTAGCTCCGCCCCTGTTACTGGTTTGGCTCCGCCCCTATTTTTTCTTAGATACGTCTGGTTTTGAAGTTCAGTGGCTGCACAGCTCACACATCCTAAGGCCACCCTGGTCATGACACCCCCCTAGTGAGTGGCACCCGCGGCGGATGCCTGTATATTCTATTACCTTGTATTGTTGGACGGATTAGCAGTGTCTGAGTGCAGTGGTACACACAGATACACATACATACTCCCAGATACACACTAACACACAAACATACTCACAGATACACACTGACACTTACAGATACACACACTGACACTCACAGATACACACACATACACACTGACATTCACAGATACACACTGACACACCCAGATGCACACATACTCACAGATACACACTGACACACCCAGATACACAAACATACTCACAGATACACACTGACACTCACAGATACACACAGATGTACACATACCTAAACATACACACTGGCACACACACAATTTGCAGCTTCCATAGTGTTAAGCAACCCCCCCGACCTTGCTTCCATACCTTTTGGTTGCAGGGAGGTGACTTTCTGGGGCTGGCTGATCCTGGTGGGAGTCTGAAGCTGCAGAGCTCTCTCTCCTCCCTCCTACTTCTCTCTCAGCTGTGTCTTCACTCTCAGCTGCCTGCAGCTTCTCAGCCCACGCGGTCTCTATGCTGGGAAGAAGTAACAGTCACTTCCTCCCAGCACTCCCTGCAACTTTAAAGGGCTGCAGCACCCGACCAAGCCTCCACAGATGACAGCGCACTATTTTCTGGAGGGGGGCAAATGCCCCGTTGCCCCCCTCCCTGGATCTGCCACTGGGCTAGGGGCCAAGCATATCAACAAAATATATTCATCTGCTTTATACAGATATACCTAATTGAAATCCAATGTTCCTGTTCACATTTGGATCTGATTTCAGCCATCCAGCATACCAGTTTATTTTTGTTAATCCTGGGGTAATTTACCTCAAACACTGATTTTTAAATAACATGAAATATTTATAATCATAATTCTAAAGATCGATCGTTGGCTTACTATAGAAATTTTAGGTAATCAAACAATAAAACAGATGAACTGATTTCAATGAACTGATACAATTTAAAAATCCAAAGAGTTTTAACTTACTTATTTATATTTCAATAGGGAAAACATTGTATGCATTATTTAACCTTGTGGAGAATGATGCAAGTTGCAGCAAGTATAAGGAAGGAAACCTGTCGATGAAAGTCTCGAGGAAAGGAACAACCATAAGTTCTCTGGAAGCAGACTGGCTCGAATTGACAAGTAGTGGTTACCAACAAGGACTATCATTAGTTGATTCTATAGTGTTCTGGGACCTAATGAAAGGTAACTTCTTTATAGACTTCTCAGCCTTGGTTCTCCAACATTATTAGGGTATCCTTAGATGACAAGATCTGGGTGATTCCCTGGTGCACTATTTCTGATGAATAAACATATGTTTATAGAAAAACCTCTTGTTGTCACAGAAGGAGATGGTGGTGAAACATATAAACTGAAATATGATAATTGAAATGTATATGTTTTGGAACTGGAACATAACATAAGTATCAGAATATCATATTTTTTGCATTAAATGCACTATAAGCCAAAATAGTCTGATATTTAACACAATTGTAGCTACAACTGCTTTGTTATGACATTTTCATGGTGAACCCTTTTATTACTACGGGACAACTGGCACTTTTATAAGAACATCTTAAGAGCAAAGAGCAACTGTTAAGCATTGTAATATTAATAACAGGTAAATAGTTGCAGCTACAAAATATAATCAGGCATAAGGGATGAGGGACACATTTTAAAAGACAGATCTATTGAAAATTATGTTTTGTTAGAATAGTTCCAGTTCTTTAGTGACATGTACATGTATATATGTATTCTATTCATATACATACATTATTTTTACTTTCTGCCATTTATCTGCATTACCATTAAAGGACCACTCTAGGCACCCAGACCACTTCAGATTAATGAAGTGGTCTGGGTGCCAGGTCCAGCTAGGGTTAACCCATTTTTTTTATAAACATAGCAGTTTCAGAGAAACTGCTATGTTTATAAATGGGTTAATCCAGCCCTCAAATCCTCTAGTGACTGTCTCATTGACAGCCGCTAGAGGCGCTTGCGTGATTCTCACTGTGAAAATCACAGTGAGAACACGCAAGCGTCCATAGGAAAGCATTGTAAATGCTTTCCTATGAGACCGGCTGAATGCGCGCGTAGCTCTAGCCGCGCGTTTGCATTCAGCCGAATGGGAGGAGAGGAGGAGGATCGGAGGAGAAGAGCTCCCCGCCCAGCGCTGGAGAAAGGTAAGTTTTAACCCCTTTCCTCTGCCCAGAGCCGGCTGGAGGTGGACCCTGAGGGTAGGGGCACCCTCAGGGCACTATAGTGCCAGGAAAACGAGTCCTTTCTTAGAAACTCTATGCAAATATGCTACTTTACTTTATGCTACTTTACAAATACTATGCAGAATGGCAGGCAACAATCTAATTTTTGGATATAGAACAGATATTGCTACAGAAAAGTATGACAAAATAAATCATTTATAGTCATAATGGCAAGTCATTTTAATATATTGTTTGTGGGTTGTAGTTTTTTCCTATTAAGTTTTATTGGATTTTCAAAAAAGCAGACAATTGAGTCAGAACCAATAAATATTGATTAGATACAATGTAGATCAATTAAATCATAAAACAACAATATTACATTGTAGAAAATCTCACAGCAATATAGCAGAACAATGGAAATTATTTTAAATTATTTGTTAATTTATTTGTTAAGGACACAGCTTCAGAGGCTAGTCTTACGCTTAATGACACAAGCAATTTTTGCATTTTTTGATGTTTGCGCTCAACTTCAATTTGCTTTTTACTGATTTATTTCACTAACACATATTATATACTGTTTTTTAAAGGATAGAAAAGTCTTTCATTTGATGTAACATATATATTAAAATTATTTTAGTTGTTCTGATTTACAGAATATATAATGTGTCTGGGATCTTAAGGTTTTTTTTTGCTAGTTACAGGTCACAAAGCACAAGGAGTAAAATAAACTTTTAATGTGGAGCGATTTTAGAATTTCGTATGTTTGTCTTGTAAGCTTAATAGCCATAAAAGAAAACACAATTGCCACACAAAAGTATATATTTATATAAAGTAGACATCACAGACTATTTACCTAATGTTATTTTGACACTTTCTAAGTAGCCATTTCACCGCCAATCTCTGCTAAATATTGGAGTAAAATTGTGGGGTTATTTTTGGCACGCAAACTTATAACAAAGAACTACTCATGTATATTGTAAATTTGGTGTTTGCTATTCCTGTACAAAATTTATTTATTTTTTTGTGATCAGCTACATCTGCTAAGTACAACGATACCCCCATTGTATGTCTTTGGCACTATTTCGTGACGGTACAGTGCCAAATAGGAGACCTGTCCTTTTCAGTATTTACAGTAGAATTTTGAGAGATGGATTTAATGGACTTGTGCTTTAATTTGGGGCATTATAGCAGGTTGACTGTTCAAAAACCCCCACAAAAGCCTACCATTTGTAAAAGTAGACACTCCAGGGTATCTCATATGATGCATATTGTGCCTTAACATGCCCCCATTTTTTCACCAATATATGCCAAAGTAGAGAGAGAGCGCAGGTAACTTTTTTCCTTTGGTTTTTACTATATGTATTAGCTGATGTGTACTGTAGTTGTTGCTACCGCCCAGGAGTGATGGGAGTGAGCGTATTACTTTTCTTTTTGTATTTGTATTCACTTTTTGTATCACACAGCTAGGTTACATTGCTGCCGCCCATCCCATGTGTTCCCTATTAAGGGTTAACAAGTTAACAAATGTCAAGGCAGACCACCCTAGACGGATCCTACTCTGACCCTTTACCTTGCTTCCTTGAGCTTCTGGCAAAAATATCTCAAATGAGACAGAAAGGGGTATTTTCTGTCTCATTTGAGATATTTTTGCCAGAAGCTCAAGGAAGCAAGGTAAAGGGTCAGAGTAGGATCCGTCTAGGGTGGTCTGCCTTGACATTGGCAGGCGGGCATTCCCTCCAGTGGCCATTTGAGTAACTAAATTACCTCCATCTGTTTAAATATACATAGGGATTAAGGAGAGAGCGCGAGTAACCTTTTTTCTTTGGTTTTTAACATATAGGAGACCTGTCCATTTCAGAATTTACAGTAGAATTTTGAGAGACGGATTTGATGGGCCCATGTTTCAATTTGGGGCATTATAGCAGTTTGAATGTTAAAAACAAACAAACACAAAGGCCTACCATTTCTTAAAGTAGACACCCCAGGGTATTTCAAAAGGCATATTTTAAACCTTAGCATAGGATCACTTTTTTGTTAGTTTGTACCAAGTCTAGTTGCAATTAGCATTTTTTATTCTATTTTTGACACACACTTTGCAATCCTTATGTGTGCTACGGCAGTATAACACCTAATATGTTGCTCAGCTATGTCCTCTTAGTGCAACGATACCTCCATTTGTACCTTTCTCAGGGATATGTGGATGTTGAAGGTGCACATTGGAGACACACCACTTTCATATTATTCAAAAGTGGATACTGGGCCCAAGTCTCATTTTAGCAGCTCAGGACTGCAGATTACCTCTCAAAGGTAATTTTTGAGATAATCTTTGGCTTCCAATATCATTTCTATGCAGATGACATTCAAATCTACCTGTCCTCTCCTGATCTCTCCCCATCCCTCTTGACTAGTGTCTCTGACTGCCTTTCTGCTATTTCTAACTGGATGGCTGCCCACTTCCTTAAACTCAACTTAACCAAAACTGAAATTCTGGTCTTTCCTCCCTCAAGTGTTGTTACTCCTGTGTCTGTCTCCCTCCAAGTCAACGGTGCCACCATCAGCTCCAAAACGCAGGCTCGCTGCCTAGGTGTTCCCTTTGACTCCGACCTCTCCTTGAAGCCTCATGTTCAGTCTATCGCCAAATCCTGTCGTTTCCATCTCAAAAACATTGCGCGCCTCCGACCCTACTTAACGCCAGATGCGACTAAGGTGCTGGTCCATTCCACTGTCCTTTCTCACCTTGACCACCGTAATCCGCTTCACAGTGGTTTTACGTGCTCCCAACTTGTGCCGTTACAGTCCATAATGAATCCGAGGCTCATCTTCCTGTCCGTCCGCACCTCCCACGCCTTACCCATCTATCAGTCCCTACATTGGCTTCCTGTAAGATATAGGGCTCAATTTAAAATTCTGGTTCTTGCCTTCAAATCTCTACATAATGCTGCTCACACCTATCTATCCTCCCTAATACACAAGTATGTCCCGGCTAGGCCCTTACAATCTTCTGTCCGTACTCCCTCCTCTGATGATCGCCTTCAAGACTTCGAGGGCTGCACCGTTCCTGTGGAACGCACTTCCCTCCTCCGTTAGATGCTCACCTAGTCTCCACTCCTTCAAAAAATCATTAAAAACCCCACTTCTTCATAAAAGCGTATCAATTAAACTGTTAATAGCTCCCAACTGATTCCTCTGTTGCAACTGTCACTAGTCTAATATTATCCTTACCTTTTGTGTCACTTACCACACTCCCTCTAGCATGCAAGCTCATTGAGCAGGGCCCTCAACCCCTCTGTTTCTGTGTGTCCAACTTGTCTGGTTACAACTACATGTCCATTCGTCCACCCATTGTAAAGCGCTGCGGAATTTGATGGTGCTAGATAAATAATAACATAATAATAATTAAAAAAAAAGGCCACATCTATTTTTAAGTATAAGCAACGCATCAATTCAAATTATGAACAAGTGCATACTATTTGCTGTTAAAAGGGGGAATAGTTGGTGTAAACCCAGGAGCGGGCGGATGGGCTACAATTGCTGCCCTAAATAATTTTAAAACCGGCCGCGGCGGCTGCAGCGCTGCTTCTCCCCTCCCCTGTAGCGTGGCCGAGCTCCTCTCCGGTCCGCGGTGCACTCAGTGTGCACCTTCCTATCACTCCGGCTGGGTACCGCGGACCGGAGAGGAGCTCGGCCAGCCTACAGGGGTTGGGGTGAGAAGTAGTGGAGGGGTAGGAAGAGGGGGGTAAGAAGAAGGGGAGTATGAAGAAGAGGGGGGTAAGAAGAAGAAGGGGTAAGAAGAAGAGGGGTAAGAAGAAGGGGGGTAAGAAGAAGAAGGAGGGGCTAAGAAGAACAAGGGGGAAGTAAGAAGAACACAGGGGGGAGAGCAAGTGTGAGGAGAAGGGGAGATGAGGAGAACGGGGGGAGACTGAGAAGAACACAGGGAGGGTGGGTGGTGAGGAGAACACAGGGAGGAGAAGGGGTAAGAAGAACACGGGGGGAGAGGAGAAGAGTATATGAGGAGAACACAGGTAGGGGGGAGGTGAGAAGAACACAGGGGGTTAGGAGAACACATGGAGGGGGGGAGTGATAAGAACACAGGGAGGGTGGAGAAGGGGTGAGTAGAGCACAAGGAGGGTGGGTGAGTGTGAGAAGAGACCGCTAGGGGAGGGTGGGGGAGAGCTCTAAGGGACAGAACGGACAGCTCTATAGGACAAGGGGCAAGACAGGGAGCTCTTTCACACTACGCGCACACGCACATTCAATGCATCCCTATACATACACAGAAACACAATGCATCCCTACACACATATATAAGGGACTTGTGATATGGACATTGTTGCCCTATTTCAAAATGGTGAATCACATCGTCTAGATAAAGGTGCCATGAACTGTAAATCCGGCGAAACCCGGAAGTACCGCAATGACGCATACGTCACGTGACCGGAAGTTCATGAACCTGGACGTGATCGCGGGACGCTGAAAAACGGCGCAAAATTCAATCACAAGATGGAAATATAAAGCATCAGGAAAGGACATTCACCATGCACTTTGAGAAAGACCCCAAGGTCGAAACGAGTTAGTGCTGGTGGATTTTTATTTATATGCAGTTGGCTTATGTTATATGCCTTCTTTTATTTTATGTTATTGGATCCTGCTATTCTTCTTTTGGCACTGAAAAGGAGACATCACATGAGAATTTTACAGCCTGAATAAGCTGATTATTCAACTGCTACCTAAGCCAGAGCTTGCTTGTTGTGTCTCTGGAAAGTGTGAGTGACCCAATACCTCTATAATTGATTTGTTATATACATATAACAGTATTATATAGTTACATAGCTGAAAAGAGACTTGCGTCCATCAAGTTCAGCCTACCTCACATTTGTTTTTTGCTGTTAATCCAAAAGAAGGCAAAAAAACCCAGTTTGAAGCATAATTTTGCAAGAAGCTAGGAAAAAAATTCCTTCTTGACCTCAGAATGGCAGTCAGATTTATCCTTGGATCAAGCAGTTATTACCCTACATTGAAAGATTATATCCTTGAATATTCTGTTCTTGCAAGTATGCATCTAGTAGCCGTTTGAACACCTGTATGGACTCTGATAAAACCACTTCTTCAGGCAGAGAATTCCACATCCTGATTGTTCTTACAGTAAAAAAAACTTTCCTTTGCCTTAGACGAAATCTTCTTTCTTCCAGTCTAAACGCATGGCCACGTGTCCTATGTAAAGTCTGGTTTGTGAATAGATTTCCACACAATGGTTTGTATTGTCCCCCAAATATATTTGTATAATGTTATCATATCCCCTCTCAGGCGACGTTTTTCTAAACTAAATAGGTTTAAATTTGTTAACCTTTCTTCATAGCCGATATGTTCCATTCCTTTTATTAATTTTGTAGCCTGCCTCTGCACTTTTTCTAGTGCCATAATATCCTTCTTTAGAACAGGTGCCCAAAATTGCACAGCATATTCAATATGGGGTCTTGCCAGTGATTTATAAAGAGGCAAAATTATATTCTTGTCCCGAGAATGAATGCCCTTTTTCATGCATGACAATAACTTACTGGCCTTGGCCACTGCTGATTGACATTGCACATTGTTGCATAGTTTGTTGTCTATAACAATCCCCAAGTCCTTTTCATGTGTTGTTATGCCTAATTCACTTCCATTAAGGGTATACATTGCTTGTGTATTCTTTACGCCGAAGTGCATAACTTTGCATTTTTCAACATTCAATTTCATCTGCCATTTGAGTGCCCAGTCCCCCAGTCTATCTAAATCCCTCTGCAGCAAAGTAATATCTTGCTCACATTGTATTGTTTTACAAAGTTTGGTGTCATCTGCAAACACTGAAACATGACTTTCAATGCGGTCTTCAAGATCATTTATAAACATGTTAAATAGAAGGGGTCCCAGAACAGACCCCTGAGGGACACCACTTGCCACCTCTGGCCAGCTTGAAAATTTACCATTAATGACAACTCTTTGTACTCTGTTTTTTTAAAGCCAATGTTCTACCCAAGAACAAGCATTTTCATCTAGACCGATTTATTTGAGTTTGAACACTAATCTATTGTGTGGAACTGTATCAAATGCCTTGGCAAAATCCAAATAGATCACATCCACGGCAACACCCTGATCTATACTTCTACTTACTTCTTCGTAGAACGCAATCAAGTTAGTTTGACATGACCTGTGCTTCAAAAAACCATGCTGATTTTTGCTGATAACCATGTTCTTCTCAAGGAATTCTTGAATATTATCCCTTAATAACCTTTCAAATATTTTACCAGCCACAGAAGTTAAGCTCACAGGTCTATAATTTCCAGGCAAGGATTTTGAACCCTTTTTGAATATAGGAACCACATCTGCCTTCCTCCAATCCTCTGGAACACTTCCTGAAAGAAAAGAATCTTGAAAGATTAAAAACAGAGGTTCACTTATTACTGCACTTAGTTCCTTAAGTACACGTGGATGGATACCGTCAGGCCCTGGAGCTTTGTTTATATTAACTTTCTTTAGTTGCTGCAGCACCTTATCTTGAGTTAACCAATTACAATTATTCTGCAAGTTTTTAGTAGCAATCATTTGCACATCTATTGCCATGGGTTCTTTCTTAATATATACGGAGGAGAAATAGTTATTTTAAATTCCTGCCTTTTCCTGGTCTTCATTAACTAACACCCCCGTTTCA